ATTACAAATTCAAAGTGCTTTAGGCACATATAAAGAGCTTCAAGCACATTTAAAGAGCTTGAAGCACATTTAAAGAGCTTGAAGCCCTTTTCAAGGCACCCCAAGCACTTTTGACGTGCTTCAAGCACTTTTCAAATCACTTTGAGGGCTTTGTGCTTGTGAAGCACTTTTGAAAATAAAAAGGAATTTGTGCTTGAAATTAAAGTACTTTGATAGAGGACTTAGGGCTTAGTGCTTCAAGCCCTTTTACTGAGGGCTTTGCCCAGCTCTGGATAATATCCTGCTAATCCTAAAAAGGATTTAATGTCTTTTGGATTTTTGGGTGTTGGGAAGTTCTGAATACAACTTATTTTTACAGGGTTCGTTTTTACACCGTCTTAAGTGATAAGGTGTCCCAGGTAAGTTACTTCTTTTCGAAGAAACTCACATTTATCCGGCTGGATTTTTAAGTTAGTTTTACGGAGGTGTTTTAAAACTTCGGTTAGCCTTGAAATATGTTCGTGGATGGTAGGAGAGTAAACGATAATATCGTCCATGTAAACTAAGCATCTTTCGTTTTGCATGCCGAGGAGAATATTGTCCATGACTCTTTGGAACGTGGCCGGGGCATTTTTCAATCCAAATGGCATACTTACGATTTTCGAAACATGGGGTCTATTTCTATTTGGTGAAAACCTGAGGCTAGGTCAAGGGTGGTAAAACATTGATATTTTCCCAATTAATCCAGAAGATCGGAAATATTAGGCAGCGGGTATTTGTCGTCTAGAGTCAGTTCGTTGACTTTACGGTAGTCGATTACGACGCGCCATTTGGGTTTGCCAGAAGCATCAAGTTTCTTAGGAACGACCCAGACGGGAGAAGACCATGGAGATACAGAATGGCGAATTATGCCTTGGTCTAGCATTTTCGAAACTTGGAATTTGACTTCTTCTTTGTGGATTTGGGGGTACCTGTAAGATTTGGTATACACAGGTGTCAATAGGGTGTTTAATCTCACTAGTAAATGTGAGCGTGTCACCTTCCAGGTAGAAAATGTCGGAAAAGTTCAGGCATAAGTTGGTAATTAGTTCTTTTTCTTCGTCGTTTTTAAATGTTCTGTACGAAGTTCATTTTGTATAGACATTTGCCTATCATAAGTATGGTTCGATAGACAAGTTCGAAAACTCTACGGTTTTGTCCATGGCGTTAATATTTACAATTATTGTTCGAGTCTTGTTTGGTTTTGTATTATTAGGGTAGTCATCTTCAGTGACTTTATGAAGAGGGATAGTTTTGAAATTAGTTACAAGTTCTTTAGCATTTAAATCTATCATACATTAATGTTCTAGAAAATCCAACCCTAAAATTCCATCGAAATCAATATCCAAGTTGTAAATATACACTTTGTGAGGATCTTGAAGGGTGACCGGTACAAGTGTTGATTCACGGATATGGAGTTTTTAATCGGTGATACCTTGAATGGTTACGTTTTCTTCGGAACGATAGGGGAATTTTTAAACAGTATTTTCTTTGAAAATTGAAATGCCTGCACCTGTATCAATGAGTAATTTGAATTTATTGGAAGCATCATGAATGCAATACAGATTTTTCGAATTAACAGTAAGAAGTGGGTTTAAAGAAATGGTTGTTCCGGAAAATTGAAGTTCGGATTCATGTTGCCTAGATTCAGAAGTTGTATTTGAGTCTCGATATTCGAAGTGTCTTGAAGGGTATTCTCTGGCGGAAGGTGATTGGTATAAGGAACTAGAAAATCCTGATAATTTTCAGTATTCGGATCAGTATATTCGTTTTCTTCATAACTAGCATCTTGTTCATATAAGGGCTTTCAGCGTATTCAAATTCGTTGGCATATGTTTCATTAGAGGAATCATTTAAAAGATAAGTTTTTTGCTGGTTAGGGTAAAAATTGGGGTTTCTTTGAGGGGTAGTTGAAGCGTATCTTGGTATGAATTGTTTCGACGTAGATGCATTTTGGGTTCTATTTTGCGGAACATTGGTTGTTGCCTGAGTAGTTAGCTGTAGTCGTTTTTTGGAAATTTTGATTTGGGTATTGAGTGAAGTTTGAACGACTGGAAGCTTGTTGTCTACATTGATTGGATGTATGGCCAATTTTTCCACAAAAAAAGCATTTAATGGATGATTGTGGTTTGTTGACCAAAACTTTTTGAACAGCAGTTTTTTGAGTCTTCTGATTCTCAAAATAGGAAAGTTGTATTTCTCTCCTGATTCTACATTGAGCATCTAAAAGAGAGTGTGGGCTTCCTGCTCTGATAATCTGGCCAAGGCGAGGTTCTAGGCCTGTAAGTAGAGTGTTTCATAGATTCCACAAGGGAGGACTGTGCTTGTTTTTGATCTTGTGTTTTAAGGTGTGGTGACTTTTGGATAGCAGAATGCTATATATATTGCATTCAGTACTTGGAGTCTGTTGGAGAAAGCAAGTGGGGACTCGCCAGGTAGTTGTTTGAGTCGTTGAAGGTCATGGATAAGAGCTGAGAGGTCTCTAGAATCTCCAAAGTGTAAATTCAGAAGTTGTTTGATTTCCAAATAGGAAGTGGGGCTTCGAGAACTTATCAGTTGACCTGCTCTACCTCTGAGCTTATTTTTAATATGAATAACAAGTAAAACTTTTTGCTGCGTGGTTGCCATATTGTAGGCACAATCGCATACATTAATAAAGTTTCCCGAAAAGATTTGATCTCCTTCAAATTCAGGAATTATCGAAAATATTTCAGAAAGTTTGTATGGTTCAACTTCCACAATGGTTTCATTGGTTTCATTAGACATTTTGTTGATTTAAATAAAAATATTCAAAAACAAAAAATATTTCGAAAGTAATTGACAACTTTTCAAAATATGGTCGATGGAAACGATTTATGAAAATTGGTCACTAAATTTTCAAAATACAGTAAAATAAAACGATTTTTAAGGAAATAATTGATTAGCAAACTTTTCAAAATAAACAAAATATGGTAAATTGAGACAATTTATAAAAATTGAGGTTCTTTTATAATTAAAAATATGTTGATTCTATGGGAACGTTGCGACCATGGACTATGGACCAGAATTCTTGGCGTGACATGTTCTCACAGGATTGCTGAAGTAGTATCTAGACTTTGTGATACTTTGTACCACTATGGACTATGGTGATGAAACGCGTCTTGAGGTCAATGTAGTCGTGAAATCCATATAACATATATACCATCCTGTTTTTGCAGCAGACCTAGCGGTTAGTTTTTGGCGAGCACCTTTTTCAGCCGGGCTGCAGCTGTAGTGCTTTCTATATCATTGCAAAACTGTCTCCAAGTTTTTCTCTGTGATCTGCGAATTTCCCCTTTATACTGCCCTCGGTGTGTTTTATACGCATCCCAGTTAGTTGCCCTTTTGGTATTTTTTGCTCTATTGAAAAGCCTATCTCTCTTGAGTCGCCCAAGTCTTAAACTCCACCAAGGAGTTGTTTTACTTGAGCGTATTGTTTTCAGCCGCCTCATAGGCTTTGACTATTGCCTCAGTTAGATTTAGTACGCCTCTTTCTATATCTGGGCCTGTTTGATGATATCAGACTGATATTGTGTGAGGGACAGATTTTCGTCCAGTTGCACTTCCAGCTGCTCCCTGAAAAAGTGTCTGTCGGTGCAACGTGGGTTTCGATATTTACGTTCCTCCATTTTCTTTGCCTCTAGTACATTATTCCCATATGAAACGAGAAATTTAAAAGTGATAAGCCTTTTGGGATTATCGAGCTTGGTGGCATTTATAGCAAATTCTATTATACAATTTTTTTAAAATTTAGTTCGTTGTATAACCTTTTGAATACCACTTGAAGTTTCAGAATTACCCAATACTTTTACCTGACACTCAACGCGTTACCAGCAACCACTCCTCCTTCGGAGTCGTGGTGTTACTGCGTAACGCGTTTCGTGACAGGTAAAAGTATTATCCGGTAATCCTGAAACCTCTTGTGGTATTACATTCGATAATATCTATTAGGTACCGTTTGGCAGTGGTTCGTGACGAATGTCAGTTCGCCGCCTTTGTTGAGAACTTCTAGATTTGTGAAGATGAGAAATTCCACTAAATTGTCGCCTACTTATTCTTACTTCTATTTAAAAAAACGTGAACAAGAAAGAAAAACTCACATTATTGCTCTTATCCACAACACAAAATTTGACTAACCACCCCTGTAGGCCAGGAAACATAGGCCGAAAAAGAGGGTGTAGGCGAAATAATTCTCGGAAATCTGGAAATCGTTTTAATCTCTTTATTTGCATGTAAAAAAGGGTTTTTAAGGTTTGCACCAATTTTCCGCTTGTGCTACATACGGGGTGTCCCGAAAACCTCAAATTTTTTGTATTATTTTCAGTTTTTTACTGATTACTCCGAAATTATGCATTTCTATGAAAATTTTACTCTTTTATAAATTAAAGTACGTAAAATTCTACGTCGAATAAGCACAACATATTAAAATTAAGTCAAGTGGTATGGCCCATATGCATGTTGAAAAACAAACATTTTTCCAATTTTTGAAGAAATAATCATATTTTGGACTTTTAAACCTTGTTTCCGATAAGTTAAGTATTATATGAAATTATTATGTGTTCGGAGTTTATACTGCACCGAATACTGTGGGTATCACAAATATGTAATGCCGGCCCTAGACACATCACGAATATGGGTGGGTATTCCTGAATATTTGCGATGTGTCAGGGAGAGTACATTCATCTATTGTCGGAATTGACTTTTCTCATCGCCAGATAAATCGCAAAATTTTCGCGGTTCTCTATAATCGCGAAGTGTCTGGGCTTAAGATGCATCTTTCTTCCCCTTCCCTTGCTATCTATACACGCCGCGCCGAAGCAGCAGCATCGCCCGACCCGAGTCGTAGCCGTTTAACGTTGCGGTAAAAAACTGTTTTTCGCCGTTTTTTCATCCAGGAGAATATTTTCCAGTTTAACTTATTTTCTTAGCCCAGTGTGCGTTGTAGTGACGTTTTGTGAAAAGTGATGGAGGATTCAAAATGTTTCATCTGTGGTGATAGTTTACAAGGACAGGTGAGCTGTCTCAACATTGTATTTCTATTTTTAAAACATCGGTTTATCGATCCTAATACTGGAATATTATTTAAAATTAGTAGCTTTGTTTGTTTATCTGCACCAAAGTTACACCAAGCTGCACCTGATCAGTGAAAAATAATGTCTGTCTCTGTCAGCCTAACAAAAATATAGAGATAAACATACTCGTTTGAAGTAGAAAGATTAGTTTGGTGCTGGCTGGTGCAAATAAACAAACAAAGCTAGTGTTTGCTCAAGACCACACGGTACAAATGAAAACTTCAACAAATCGAGATCAATAATATGAAATACCTTTTTTTTACTCAAAAAGTTACCTAGAACATTTACAATTAATACAATAATTATAAATTGCGTAAAAATAACTCTGATCAATTTTCGCTCTGCTGATTGTGTTTCTCTCTTCGAAGTTTTTGACGTGCCTACTTGGCCATTATTTATTAATGCGGCATTCTTGCTATGTCATGTGAGTGATTCGCTTGTACAATAGCACTGACTTTCATTTATATCTCACATGGCACATTATCAAATTCTGGCCTTTATTGTCTAAATATACGCAATATTGGACAAATTTAAATATATATTCGAACAATATAGTTTGCTACTTTTTATTTTTTTTATAAAATTGTCATTGTTACAGGTGACAACAGTAAAAGAAAAAGGTATTCTAACTTTCATGGATAGTAGTAAAAAAAGAAAGGATGGGAAACACATTTTGTTAAAGGATGAAACCTCTGTAACTGTTCATGAAAAATGCAGAAAAATCTACAATAAGCAGTCCTACATTGATGCTGCACTAGCTGAGCAGTCTTCTAAACCTAGCGCCTCTAGGAGATCGAATCAACCGCTGTTTGATTTCAAGGGACACTGTCTCTTTTGTGGAAAAGATGCCTCCGATCAATTTATAGAACGTCAAAAAAAATTAAACCAATCACGACGCGAAAAAGTTCATGAAGTGACTAAACTGGATTTTAAGCAAAAGGTTATTGATGCAGCTAAAACAACCAGGAAAAGTGATGAATGGAGTAACGCTGTAGTTTTTCGAATTGAAAATGAGATTGATCTTATTGCAGCTGAAGGGAGGTATCATGGATCATGCTGTAAAAATTATTTCGGAGAATATGTACAATCAGGAACAAAGCGAGGCCGCCCAGAGGATGAAGAAGTGACGGCTGCAGTAGATTACATATGCAGATACCTTGAAGCAAATGAAGACCAATGCCAGTTTGTACTGAGTGATATTCTCAAAGATTATAGTGGACCAATCCCAACAACCCTCATTCTGAAAAAAAGGCTCGAGAATGTTTATGGAGACGACATTATAGTTACAATTGGTAAGAACAGATTCAGTCCCAGTATAATATGCTTCAAGAACACAGGCTACACGATCTTGACTGAGAAATGGTACGAGTCAAAACTGGCTGACAAAGAGGGAGAGAAACTCCGTGTGGTAAAAGCAGCTGCTGCCATAATCCGTGAGGACATTCGTTCAAGAATATATAACTTCACCTCCTATCCTGCACCTAACAGTTTTTTAGATAATGTTGAACACGACATACCGGAATCGCTTGACTTGCTCCTAAGATCAACTATTATTGCCCCTAATAAGAGTCAAGATAATGACAAAGTCAATACCAAAATTACATCCATCGCCCACGCAATTATTGCAGCTACGCGACCGAAATCTTATCGATCAGCGTTACAAGTTGGCCTAGGGGCGCTTATTCATCGAAAATATGGCTCAAGGGATCTCTTGGAGATTGTTTCAGCGACAGGATTTTGTTGCACATACAATGAAGTGCAACATTATGAAATTTCATGCTTGACACAACGAAATGAAGATATAGTACCATCAGAATCGCTCACACAGTTTGTCTTTGACAATGCTGACGTAAACATTGACACATTAGATGGCACCAATACTTTTCACGCAATGGGAGGCATCCAGTGCACTACACCTGAGCCTTCAAAATCTGAAGGAACTATTATGGAGAGAGTAAAAAAAATCCCTAATGCAGGAACCTTGGGCGAATTCGGAGCAATGCCAATCGTTGCTTTTCAAAGGAAAGCTAAGACAGGCCTTTGTGATATTGACATACTCGACCTTGACGAGAAATTGCCTAGTTTCGAGATTAAGCTATTGCCCACTGATTTTATATGGGCGTATGGCAAATGGCAAGGACGTAAGGACATTCCAGGTTGGAATGGGTTTATGGAAAAAGTTACTAAGGGCCGATCTTATTCAAAATCAGGCATATTGTGCCTACCATTCATCAATGCCCCGCCATCCAGCTATGATACAGTTTACTCAGCACTGCTTTATGCTGCAAATAAATGCAAATCACTTAAACAGGATTCATGTTTCGTAACGTTTGACCAACCCCTTTATATAAAGGCAAGAGATATTGTAGCTTCTTCATTTGGTCCTGATTCAGAAATCAGTTCAGTAATCGTCAGGCTCGGTGGATTCCATTTACTCATGTCATTCATGGGGGCTATCGGTTTTATCATGGATGGCAGTGGGTTACAGGAGCTATTTAGCGAGGCTTACGCAGCTACATCAACCAACAAAATGATGACAGGACACGCTTACTCACGAGCTCTACGGGCACACATTTTGGCTCACCTTGCAATGAGTAATATTGTATTGTCCATGCTGGATTTAGCAGAGAAAGAACAGTTAGCTTTTTTAGAGCTTATGAGTCATGTAATGAGTGACAGTGCATCTGCCGATATTGATGCTCCTGAAGTTAAAAATATTCTTGACAAGTTTTCGAACAAACTTGAGGAGTTGGAGTCTAGAGGAGCAACTGCTAGACTGTGGGTGCAGTATTTCAAAATGGTAACGATAGTCAAGAAATTTGTCCAAGCTGAAAGATCCGGTGATTGGTACCTGCATCTTCAAAGCATAAGAGAAATGCTACCCTACTTTCACGCCAGTGGGCATTTTTTATACGCGAAATCATGTCATTTATACCTTCAGGATATGTTGAAACTAAAATCCCGTCTGACTCCCAAGGATCATGAAATGTTTGTGACAAACGGCTTTTTCACTATCAGAAGATCTGATAAATTCTGGTCAGGTCTATGGTCTGATATGACCATAGAGCAAAGCCTGATGAGAGCTATGAAAAGTTCAGGACGTTTGAGTCGCGGCAGAGGAATAACGGACAGCACATTGGCTAAATGGGTTGCGACCATGCCTACAATTATGGAGGTATCCCAGCAGGTAGAGAGCTTTTGTGGTGTTTCATTCTGCACTACTGAACAACATGTGGATGCAAGGTTATCGAGAATTACTAGAGATAACAGTGACTGCAAGAAATTCGTAGACTGGTTTCTTTGCCACAACCCCTTTCCAGTAGGAGAGTACGTAATGTCACTGTCTACCGGAGTTATAGGAGATGAAAACGTAAATTGCCATCTTTCAGACCAAATCGGAAGTTCCAGTCTCGAAAGCATTATTGGAAGCAATTTTGGTCAAGTGAAGTTCTCCAGAAAGAAAAGAGTGCTATCAATGCGTGGCTTCACCAGCAGTGTCAAGTTGCATGACGAAGTAGTGCCAGTTGACCTATATACCATTTTCAGGAGAATCTCATTTCATAAAAAAACCGAATACGAACTCAAAAACTACTTTACATATGAATTGGCTCCATACCCACCATCTTTATTTGATGAACAAGGAATGATGAGGAAGTCACGTAAATCCGTTTTCTATGATTTGTTTAATCCAGTGGAAACCCCGTCAAACATCGGAAGTGCACTTTATGTGATCGACGGTGGCTTTGTACTTCACCGAGTACCGTGGGAGTTGAGGGAAAGATTCTCGTCAATACTTAACAAATACGTGGAATATGTCAAAAAATACTTTGGGTCACGATCAATCATTGTATTTGATGGCTATCCAGACGACCCTGGAGAAAAGAGCACAAAATCTGCAGAACGCCTCAGAAGAAACAAGTTCATGGCCGCAAATGTTAAGTTTGACGAATCCATGTTATTGACAATATCAAAAGATAAATTTCTTTCGAATGAAGGAAACAAAAAACGAATGATCTCAATGCTGATCAAGAAATTTTCAGAGGAAAATATCTCTGTCGAACAAGCTGCAGAGGATGCCGATATAACCATTGTCCGACGAGCTATGGAAAATGCTACAATGTGTGGTTGTGGTAGGAGAAGACATAGATCTTTTGGTAATTATTACTGCGTTAGCTCCTAATAGCGATTCGTTATTTTTAATGAAGCCTGGGAAAGGAAAGTTAGAGACCGTTTTTTATTCCCCGACACATTTCAAAATGTCGAACAAAGTTAAAGGAAATATTTTATTTCTTCACGCTTTTAGCGGCTGTGATTCAACATCAGCCATTTTCAGACAGGGGAAGATGAAGCTTGTGAAGCTCCTCGACAAAGATGCGGAGATACAAAAAGCTGTCGAGATATTCCAAAATAGTAATGCGACTGCAGATGAGATTGGTGCTGCGGGCGAACAAGTTATTGCGGCTTTGTATGCCGGATCGCTTCTCCGATCTTCCTCTCTGAATGAAATACGCTTTAAACTGTTCACCAAATCCTTAGTACAAAATAACTTCAACCTGGCTACTCTTCCTGCAACTGAAGAAGCTGCTAGACTGCACTCAATGAGGGCCTTCCTACAGGTTAATTTGTGGAATGGTCATGATATGGATCCAGTTCAATGGGGATGGAAGATAACTAAGCATGGACTGCTCCCAGTACCATCGACAGCCGAACAAGCCCCGCAGGAGTTGCTTAATAACACTGCCTGCAAATGTTCAAAGGGGTGCCGAAATGCGTGTGGTTGTAGGAAACAAGGAATGAAATGTTCTCCAATATGCTATAATTGTAGAGGAGCGTCCTGCAGCAATACACCAGATGAAATTATTGACGACACAAACTTAATGGACGACGAAGTGAAGCTATCTGATAATGATGACGAACTTGATGAGCTTCCGGATGACGAAGACCTTAAAGTGGACCAATTGATTCAGTCAGCTTCTACTTCCAAACGCAGCAAATTCAATTAACGTTAAATGTATTTAATGTATTTTTATGTGAATTATCTACATATTTAAACTTACATCAAAGCCATTTGTACTTAAACTCAATTTTTTACGTCTCAATTACACATTTACATCACAATGGCGCTTTATTTTTAACATGGCTGTTTTTTGAACCTTAATAGCGTCCATACCACTTGACCCAAATATAACTATGTGGTGTCCATTCGACGTAGAATTTCACGTACTTCCATTTATAAAAGAGTAAAATTTTCATAGAAATGCACCATTTCGGAGTAATCAGTGATAAACTGAAAAAATACAAAAAAATGGAGGTTTTTGGGACACCCCGTATGTAGCACAAGCGGAAAATTGGTGCAAACTTTAAAAACCCCTTTTTACATGCAAATAAAGAGATTAATACCATTTCCAGCTTTCCGAGAATTATTTCGCCTACAAACCCTATGTTGCTTGGCCTACTGGCAATAATGCGCTTTTACAGAAAAATCGTTTCGCTCGGGTGCTAACTTCACACGCATTGATTATTCCAGCAATCAAACTTATCCAAAATAACTTATTCAAGAGCCTGGAAAAATCAAAAATTGAATTTTGATTATTCCTGGCTCTTGTTTGATTTGATATTCAACCAAAATACACTCTTACCTCATCTATCATTGTTTGAGCTTTAAATATTTCTTCAACGGAAGCCTCTTTGAGGTACCGATAAAGTTCCTCATCGCTCACTTCACCCAATCCCAAAGCTTTTGCCATTGGTTGGTTGCTTTGGAAAGCGTAAGCCCAACTGCTCAGAGCGGAACCGCTCTGGCAAAGGGCCTTATGAAAAAGGCCTTTGGCCATCGGAGAAAGAACCAGAAAATGGACAGAGGCAGCTCCAGCGCTGTTGCCAAAAATCGTAACGTTTTCTGGATCTCCGTTGAAGTTTTTAATATTTTTCTGGATCCATTTCAACGATAGGACCATGTCTTTGAATGAAGCGTTGCCAGGTACTTCTAGTTTTGGGTCTTCTAAATTTAAAAATCCTGAAATGTTTAGGGGTAAAAATTTGACTACAAACACAATAATTCTCACCTAAAATCCCCAAACGATAATTAATTTCAACTATAACAACGTTTTCGCTGATGAGTATTTCGGGGCCATGCAAATCTTTGTGATTGGACCCCGTTAAAAAACTGCCACCATGTACAAAAACCATTACAGGTTTCAATGAGGTTTTTGGAGCGTGCAAATTGGGCAACTGAAATAAATAATTTGTTAGTTTTCCAAGTAGGATTTAGTTTACCTTACACATGGAGTATGGACGTTGAGGTTCAAGCAATCCTCTGAACCATCTATTTGTTTCGTTAAATAATTCGGTTGTATTGACACGTTGCCTGGTTCTAAGGCTTCAAAAATACCCAACCATGGATCAACAGGTATTGGAGCCTAATGATTATTGATTAAGTAAAAATGTATTATTTGCTAAAAAAAATACTTACTTTAAATCTTAGATCGCCTATTGGTGGTTTGGCGTAAGGGATTCCTAGAAAACTGTAAAATTTGCCACCACGTACATCTTCGTTTAATTTGCCTCTTATTTTACCCGAATTAATTTGTATTATTGGGTTAATAAAATCGAAATTCTGTCCCGACATTACTGCGATTGATAAATATTATGATGCCATTGAATCAGGTTGAACTTTGATCTATATCCAAGGCTAGTTAATTGTTATCTTGATTAGGCAATAATTATTAATTGTTTAAGTATTGGGAGAAATTATAAAAATACAGTTGAGAACGTTTTTAATTTTGCATATGTATTTGTAATTATTGAACTTTTGCTTATTATTTTAGGAAATTCTACAACATAGGCACAACTAGGGGCGTGCTTGGGGATGCTAAGCACCCCTAAAGCAAAAATTAGCACTCCTATTCGGCATCCCACCATAGCACTACCTAACACTTATATAAAAAAGGAATAAGAGGAAAATGAGAAGCTCATGTTACGAAAATTTCAAAATTTTTCAGTAAAAAATGAATCCAGGAAAAATTTTGAAAAACTTACTTTTCAGCAAAATTGAGGAGAATTCATCCTCTTACATTTTAATTTATTTCTAGAAATCTGGTAAAGGGAAAATTGTGAAATGTTTCCAGAAGAAAAAGAAAAGTGAGGAGCACATTATAGAAAAATTTCAAAATTTTCCAGTCAAAAATCACTCCAGGAAAAATTCTGGGAAATTGACTTTTTTAGGCAAAATTCACCCTCTTACATTTTTATTTTTTTTTGGGAAACTGGCAAGAAAATTGTGAAAATTTTCCAGGATAAAGAGAAAAGTGAGGAGCTCATTATAGGGAAATTTCGAAATTTTCCAGTGAAAAATCACTCCAGGAAAAATTCAGAGAAAATTGACTTATTTAGGCAAAATTAAGGAAAAATTCACCCTCTTATATTTTAATTTTTTTCTGGAAAACTGGCAACATGAAAATTTTGAAATTTTTACAGGAGAAAGAGGAAAGTGAAGAGCTTATTAGAGGAAAATTTCAAAATTTTCCAGTGAGAAATCACTCCAGGATAAATTTATTTATATATTTTCGGATAATTGGATAAATTCTATTCTAAGTTAAAAAATGTATCACAAAACAATAATTCCGAAGGTGCTTCATGAATTAATCTATGACTTAACTTTTTCTCTAAGTGATGACGTCATCGATGACGTAAGTAAAAACCTGCGTGCCGTGCAACGAACTATATGTTTGTTCGAAATTTCAGACATAAAAAAACCTATTTTTTTTAAAAAAAGGCAAATGATGACGTAAGTAGAAACCCTCGTGAAACTAACTTTTTACGCGTCTCATTTTCTTTCCATCAAAAAAAAAATAATAAAAAAAAAAAAACAAAAAATGGCTCTCAACTTTATAGGTGGAGGGAACGAAGAGGGAAACCTGAATTAAAATTTCAAATAAAACACTTTTCCAAATATTTACATTTATTTCACTAAAAATAAATACAATCTCGATCCAAGATTAATGTAAAACTGTAGGATTCTTCTAATCAATCAACTAATTAGGCTAAATAATAATAAAAATAATTAAAAAAGAAAAATACTGAGAAAACTATTAGTTGCAATTTAAGGCATGAGATTACTTAAGGGGGCAAATATTGCACAAATAAATGCGTATTATTATGAATTTTAATCAAATACTAATGGTATAATATGCAAAAAAAACACTAGTATAAAAATTAAGCCAAGTTCCACCAACCCAATACAAAATCAAGGCGGCATGTTTCTCAACTCCAACCACTGAACATCGTCATCAAACCTTTCCACCCTCACCTTTTGCCTATAATGATACTCCTTCAAATAACTCTTAAGCGTTTTAGGCAATTGCAAATGATTAATATTATCGTAAGTCAACTTGTTGACGATAACGGCTCGAGCCAAATGCTGCAAACTAAACGTAAAATTCCTGTGCAAAGGCCAAGTGAGCATCGGCTCGAAAAACATGCAACTGCTCGGGTCTTTGTAATGCTCAATTAAACCGCAAACAGTGTCTGATGTGAAGACTCCTGGATCGTGGGAATCAAAGCTAAAGCGGTGGTTCCACTGTTCGATGCGGGCGTGCAAAGAACGGCCGTACTTGCGGAACGACACGCTGAAGAGGAACTCTTCTTGGGCGGAGTCTCGCAGTAGGAAAGTACCTTCTGGTTTGCCTTCTAGTAGGCGTTCTGCTTCGTATCGGTCCATTTTACCTAAATTGATAGTTGATAATTACTAAATATATATTTGATGGACAAATGGAAAAGGATGTACCACCTTACTGTTCCATAAACAATGAAAATTAACTTAGCAGATGTCCAAGAAGCAAAAACTGAACTTAATATGACACAAAAAATGATAAAAAAATAGAAGTTATTTTCAATTTATTTATTTCTCATTCGTGTCTCTTCTCCAAAGAATAACGCACACCTAACATGGGATTTTTGGGCTCTATGGATTTTGCCCATTTTCTGATATGTTGTAGAGGATTTAATTCTTAACAACCTTTAAATGAGACGAAATCTTGTAGGTATTACGGTCTTTGAGATATAAGCGTTGAAAGATGAACTTTTTTGCGACGTGACACTAACAAATGTCAACATAAGCTAAGGCCGGGACCGCCGACACCAGTTTCTGATATACAAGGTGGAAAATTAAAAAGGATCCACCTGGATTTTCTCAAAAATTATCGGGAAAGGACCCCGCACATTTCTTATGGAAAAGTGATCTATGTGGAATTTTGCTGAATTTTTGATATTGTGTATAGGAAGTCGTCCTTAACAAAAGTGATCATTGCGCTAATGTACAATACCCAACAGTTTTCAAGATATCAATTAAAAGCTTTTTCAATTTGATACTCTTCAGTATGACGTCACCAGTATGCTCACAGCACTGAAAATTAAAACTATCCTTTTCACTTTTGACTTTGACTACCTATACTTATACTCTTCTCCTTTTAACATTTAGGAAATAAAAAAAAAACAACAACAGGTACAAATGAAATCGCTATATGACGGACATCATGACATGAAGTTGACGATTGCGGCAGGAGCTAGGTGTTGTTTGCATACCTACCTATTTGTCACTAATCGCTATCGCTATCTTTTTTTTTTCTTAATTTCAAAAGGAAAAGAGTAAAGTCAAAGTCAAAAGTGGAAAGGATAGGTTGCTGTGAGTGACGTCATACTGAAGAGTATTTTTAAAAAAGTTTTTAATTGATATCTTGAAATCTGTTGGGTATTGAACATTAGCGCAATGATCACTTTTGTTAAGGACGACTCCCTATACACAATATCGAAAATTCAGCAAAATTCCACATAGATCACTTTTCCATAAGAAATGTGCGGGGTCCTTTAAAAAAACGCCGAAACACGTCGATTTTGTTTGCAAGGGGACACTTTTTGGCTATTTCAAAATTTTCCTAGATTACACCCCTTTACCAAGGTGAATTGTACCCTCAAAAGTTGAATAGGGAAACTGGGTCGAGTGATACCTTGTTTGAGAGGTATACTGATCTGTAATTTTTTTCGAAATCCTTCTAGATATTCGCCTCGGAAGTTGCCATGGGGCGGAAACAGAACGTGTTTTTGGTGAAAAAATGAGAAGTGGGTCATGTTTGGAAGGTTGTTCAAAAGGTTCCAACTAACAAAGAAACAGAGGTTCAAAATAAACAAAATTGAAGTGTTTCAGGAATGGCAACTTCCGAGGCGAATATCTTGAAAAGTAGTAGTCAGATTTCGAAATAAATTACAGATCTGTAAAGTCATCTCAAATACCTCTCAAACAAGGTACCACTCGACCCAGTTTTCCTATTCAAGTTTTGCGGGTACAATAGGGAACTTGACAAAAAATTTAAACTTGAAAATATTACTATAAATCATAAGAAGACATTATTTAAAACCTATATCAGCGAAAAAAACAATTTTTTTTGTCGCAAACGGCCACAATAAGGAATTAAAAATGCGGAAAAATTCAAATTATTTCCAGCGGGAAAAAACGCTCTGGTACTGGTCGTGACGTCATCTAGTATGATCTGTCAGTGTCTGTCAGCAACCGTCCATCATACCGTGAGTTCGTCTTGAAACACTGAGCGCTCGGAGCATTTTCCGTCTTTTTTTCTTATGATGAGAAGAACAGGAATAAAAGAACAAAACAGCAACTCCGAGCATTTACTCGAACTCTATATAATAAATACCCGTTAGCTGTGTTTATTTAGGTTTTTCTCTGATTTTTTAAAATTTTATCATTATTAGAATTGGTTTACTTAGTTTAAATTCAATGATTAGCTCAGTATTATATAAATAAAACGATCTACCTATTAATTATGACCGAAGAAGGAAATTCCAATGGCCAATCCGCCAATCTGTAATTTGTGATATGTTTATAGTAGCAAAAGTAAGTATGTGCGAATCTTTTTTTCCATTATAACTTAAAAATTTACAACTCGCCGAAACCCAAAACAACAACAAAACAAATAACGGTGCAAAATGTGGAAATCAACCAAATTAAATACAAGCAAGTATGACGTTTGATGACAAGGTGAAGCCGGCGCCACACGATGTGTCGAATGCCTTCCAACGTTGGACACATAGCGATTTGTGGCATCGTGTAGCCGTGCGCTCATCGGATACATTTGCCGAATGCTAGAGCAAAAAACACTGTACCCAACGTTGGATCTAACGTTGGTGCCAATGGTTAGACACATCGTGTGGCGCCGGCTTAACGCAAAATCATACTACGTGACGTCATCCAGATTCGCGCGCATTTGAGGTCGTTTGAAATGCTTTTAATTTGCGCGAAACTTTAAACATTTTTCACCAAATTATTATTGAGTTTTAGGGAATAATATTTGGGGAATACTATTTCAAGGCATAAATAAATGATTTAGAAAAATAAAAAAAAATTGTAAAGTTCCCAGGCAGGGACACTTTATCCGTTAGGACAATTAGGTCATGTCCTACGGGCCACTAGAGAATGAAGGCCAATTAACTGCTGGCCTTTAATTTATAATATAAAATATAAAAGCCCACTATACTAAAAACATCGTCTTGTTTAATAGCAGGACTAGCATATATTTCAATACTCTTTAATTCTTATAATTCACACTGCACAAGCTCATTTGGTTTGGCCAGAGTGCACTGCCTGACGTCACGATGCTCTGGAATCGCTCCGCTCGCTCCATCGAGCATCAATCCGGAATATGCCCTAGAGTCACCGAGCTGCGCTGATTCGCCGTCGCGTCATTAACGCAGCACGGGCACGTGGCAACTGGCAACTAGAGATGCACCGAATAGTGGTTTGGGTTACTGGCCGAATACCGGATATTCGGCCGATTGTCACGGCCGAATAACGAATATTCGGCCGATCGTCACGGCCGAATAACGAATATTCGGCCGATCCTCGGCCTGGTGTTTTGGCCGAATATTCAGCCATTATTTGGCCGAATATTCGGTTAATATGAATTGTTGGTTGCATAATTTCTTAGGCTTCTTCAATGTCATTGGGATTTCTTCTATTTTAAAGGTTGGGTTGATGAGTAAGTTTGGAGTTGGCATTGTTGGCAGTTGGCAATACCGATTTTATTTTCATTAATTTGAATTCCCGTGGCGACTTGTGTGCATTTGTATGTTTTTGAATAATTGCCGAATATTCGCCTAATACCTTTATCACTGCTGTCCGAATAACGAATATTCGGCATTTACTCAAAAGTGGCCGAATATTCGGCAATTATTCGGCAAACCGAATACTTGGTGCATCCCTACTGACTGGCAATGACTACAGCAGGAACCTGTTAGTGTTTGCGCTGCTTTGTCAAATTGTAAGTTTCTTTGAGCTTCTTCTGGAGCATCCAGGAACTTGAGCAGTGTCTTGAGGGTCCAGTGTACCACGAAGTCGTGCCTTGTTGTTGTTGAGCTTGTAGGACATGCGCAGGCAACGTGGTACGAATTTTCCTCAGAGTTGCAACCCTTTATGCATCTTTTCCTCGCTAATAGATTTGATCCCAAGCCATGCAGCTTGTTACATGGAGAGTGATGATATTGCCTATTTGTTGCGTGAGCGATTATTGCAAAAGGGGGAGAAAGAAGAAAAGAAGAAAGAGTTGAAGAAGGGAAAGGGGTGAAAGAATGGAGGGAATGATAAAACTCCTGAAGGTGGCCGAAAGGAAACCAACTTGTAGGGCAGCTCCGACTAGCCAGATTAAAGGTAGAGTGGTCTGGGTCAAAACTAAAAGCGCCACCTGTTTTCAGCCCTAAAGTAAATTGGTTCCTGAATGCGAAAAATAATAAAACAGGAAACAGCCTAGAACATACAAAGTAATTAAATCAACACAGGAAAGCAAGGAGAACAAAAAGCAGGGCATCAATAAGTGAAATCACCTATTAGCATGCGAGGACTCGTCGATTCGCAAATGCAGTCAAAGTCAGCTGTAAAAGGGACAAGAAATGAAAATAATCGAAATCAAATATTCTCTGATATGGTTTACATACTTTCTTCCAAAAATGCAAAGTATACAATATACCAAAAAAAGGTGCAATATTTATCAGTAAATTATTAAAAATACTACCTATTCTATTGCCTTAAAACCATACTATACCTACCATTTTATTAAAAATTTATAACCTTATTTTAGTCATTAAAGATCTCAAAAATCAATGTACAAATCAATAGTCGTTTACCCTCGAAATAGGCCTATTTTCACGGTGTACAGTTATCCCGATGTTAAATTAGGCGTAAAGTAGTGTACTTAAAGTGCAAAGTTATACAAGGATGGATAAATCAGGTAATAATTGTAATAGGCAAAAATAAAACAACAAATTTCTTAAAGGTTATTATAGGCCTCTATCCAGCTATGGAATTTCTTAGCCCTTGCTTCGCTGAACAGTGCTACGTCGCGAAACTGACGTAAGTTTATATTTTGGCTACAGAACGTCACTCTTTATCTCAGCTGGAGTGTAACCATATAATTTCAGGACCCAGGACAACACACACAAGTGATCAGACTGACTTACAGATTGAATCCTCAAATACGTGTTGGTTACCAGTCTTACAGAGACCAGGATGACTTCTGACTTGGAGTGAGGTCTGGAAACCTTCAAAATCTTTCTGGTTGGCAGGTAATGGGGAGATTTAGGTCCTCTTGAGTTCTGAGGTGGTTGGTGGGCAATCAGTACTTAAGATTGTCGAAGGAGATGCCAAGCATTCGATGAAGGGT